TTAATGTTAAACATTCAAAATTATATTTACAGTACTTGATATAACTTAAAATATATTTCTTTTTAATGTTTCTTCAAATTTAAAATAAGGTTTATATTTAAAATGTCAAAACAATCTGTTGTGATATTGCAGAACAGCAGAGAGAAGGCAGGGGTGAGGGGTTGAGGAGATAAGAGATCAACCAAAGAACTTGTATGCATATATTAGTATGCATAACCCATGGACACTGGAAATAGGGTGAGGGAGGCTAGGTGTGGGGGTCAGGAGCAGGCTAGAAGGGATCAATGGGGAAAAAAAGGGAATATATGCAATACTCGCAATAATAAAGATTTTTTAAAAAGGGAAAAAAACAAACAATATCAAGGCATTTGATGGAATCATTTCCTCCAAAATCACATTATCTTTAAAGTAACAAGTTAAAGATTGCTGGGGTCCAGCCCCAGCAGGTCCAGGGGTCCCCAAAGGTGTGGACGGAGTCGGCGAAGAAGGACCAAGTTCTGTAGCCAGGTTCTGTCCAGGATCTTTTGCCATGTTCTCTCCAGCGAAGTTCTTCTGTCTCTAGGTTCTGTGTAGGTTCTGTCTTCTAAGTTCTGTCTGTAGGTTCTAAGTTCTGTCTCTCTGTTGCCTTGTTTCATCTGTATTTATACCAGTTGATTCAATCCTATCAATCTCTATTCCAAAGGTTAGGGCGTTTCTTATCTCCATTCCAGGGAGTAAAGATTATGTAGTTTAAGCATGATTGCTCGTAGTTAAAGTGATTAATTACCCGCCTGGCACTTAGTGAGGGGGTTATATTCCCTCCCTAACTTCAGGGGAAATCCCTACCTGGGGAAACAACCTTTCTCGGAGAGGTGACCTTGATTAAAACACAGCGCCAAGAAGGTGAGCAAACATATTAAGAACAGTATGCCATATATGCCAGGTCCCTTGAAACAGCAAGGATGGACCGGCTCCCGGCAAAAGATTTAAAAAAAAAATCTGAAATTAGTTCATAAACGTTCTTACTTTTCAAGACTCAAAAAATCTTTTTATTTTGGATGGGTTTAGACCCGGGCACTGGTTCTCAACCTTCCTAATGCCGCGACCCTTTAATACAGTTCCTCATGTTGTAGTGACCCCCAACCATAAAATTATTTTCGTTGCTACTTCATAACTGTAATTTTGCTACTGTTATGAATCATAATATAAATATCTGATATGCAGGATGTATTTTCATTGTTCGCGATCCACAGTTTGAGAACCGCTGGACTTTAGAGATTTTTAAAGGCACAGCATAAAAACAGGAGCTGCCATCTTAAAGGAATATGGGTTTATAGTCAGGCAAACATGGATTTGAATATGAGCTCTGCCTATTACCAGCTGTAGGGCCTCTGCGAACAAAGTAAACCTCTGAGCCTGCATTTCTTTATCTGTAGGATAAAAGCAGGATCATAGGAAGAATGAAATAAAAACTATGTGAGTTTTCATAGAATCTGCCAAAAAGTAGGCTCACCCCCCCCCCCCCCCCCCGCGTGCACAAATTTTTGTGCACCGGGCCTCTAGAAGATAATAAAAGCCTAATATGCGAAATGTCCAGTCATCTGGCCGGCCATTCAACCAATCAAAGCGTAATATGCTAATGATATGGTAAGGCCACTCAACTGCTTGCTATGATGTGCACTGACCACTAAGGGGCAGATGCTCCGACTGGTAGGTAAGCTTGCTGCTGGGGTCTGGCCGACTGGGACTAAGCAAGACGGGCTGGACATTCCCTCGAGCCCTTCTGTGTCCCTCCCCGGCTCCAATCATGCACCAGTGGGGTCCCTCAGCCTGGCCTGCACCATATCGCAATCCAGGACCCCTCAGAGGATGTTGGAGAGCCAGTTTCAGCCCGATCCCACAGGCCAGGCCGAGGGACCCTACTGGTGTACAAATTCGTGCACTAATCCTCTAGTGAGTTAATAAAAGGCATCAAGATCCAAAGGCAAACAGGAAAATAAAAAAGAGAAATTAATAGTGAAACAGAGATGTGCATAAAGAATAGAAGAGCAGAAAGACATGTCACAAAAGTTAACTTTGGGTAAACCTAGGCACAGTTTTTATTTTTTAATTCTCTGGGAAGGATTATATATTTATCTGTCCCAGAATGAAATTTTTCTCGATCTATTATTGTAAGTTTTGAAATATACCTACATCAAGAGGTCTCTGGAAAACATTCTTTTTGCTCCATTTAAGACCACCTTTGTACTTCCCAGTGTTGATACACACATACTTAGTCTTGAATGATGGTTAATTAACTATTGATGAGTCCTAGCATTCTAGGGCTTCCCAGGTGACAGCTCAGTATTCTTTACTAATCATTTAATGAAAACACTTACATGAATAATGAATCTGGCATTTCCCTAGGTATACACGCAACTTTCTTAACAGTAATAAAGGCAGGCATAGGTACAGTTATACTAAATATTGTGGTTTGAAAATGTTTTTACAGAGCAAGTCAGAGAGGTTATGTTGAAAATGAAGCTCTGGTTTCTGAAATTATTAAAAGTTTCACATTATCACCCCAGTAAGTTCAATAAAAAGAAAAATAAATAAATGAAGGAACATTGAAAAACTCTAAAAAAAGTTTTACATCAACATATAGCATTATATCATAGGCACATAATATTAGAAATATAACCATTACTTGCTATATAAGCCCCAAATGGAGTAAGCATAATTTAGATTTTAGTAATCAAAATTCTAAATTTGAAAGTTTGAACTGAAAGAAACACACATATCTATAAACACTTATACACTCAGACTATATATATTTGTGTGTTGTGTGTGTGTGTGTGTGTGTGTGTGTATATATTCCACGTTCAAAGGCTGTAAAATCACGTTGTTTACCCATATATTCAGAAAAAAATCACTTCTACTGTCGTGGTAAACAACCTGCTTCCCTATTTACAATGGTTTGGCCCTCTAGCAACTTCAGCACAAAATTATAGCTAATTTGCCTACAAACATCAGGTGGTCATAATAATTTGGCCACTCAGTGTATATATACATATAGTGATTATATATAGTGTCGAAAATGTATATACACACTTTGAATAATTATAAAGTCAGTGTTTATTAAAATACATTTTATTTTTTAAATTAAATTTATTGGGGCAACACTGGTCAATACGAACATATAGGTTTCAGGTGTGGCATTCTACATTACAGGGACTATATATTACACCATGTGCCTAACATTTCGTTTTCAAAATTGAGCTATCAGCTGTTAGAGCGTGTATACTTATTTTGGGGATATTCCATATATGGTGCAGAGAAAAAATATGATTAAATTGTCTATGAAATTTATTCTGCTTCTCAGAATTGAAACTTGTCACCATTTGGTCTAATTTTACAGATGAGAACATGGAATCTTTGACGTTAGGATTTAATTCACACAAACCCATGATTGCTGTGCTGAACACTGAACTAGCGCTGAGGTAACTTGGCATGCCATCACTTTTAATACAATTTCAGTAACCCCTTTGATTCAGTGCCATCCTGATCCAAGTTGACATCTGCTTTGGAGAAACTAGGTTACTACAACCAGTTATTTGAGCAAATTTGAAAAAAAAAATGTTTTTATAAATTGTTCCGGTGGAAGGATATTATGGAAACAGACATTACAAACTTTTAGGAAAAAATCGATTTTTGGAGTCAGAAGCCAAAACTTTGTCTTGTTAGCATCTATTATGTGACTTTGGACAAGTCATTTAGCTTCTCTGATCCTCAGTGTTTTGATTTGTACAATTAGAATGATGGCACTTGTGACACTTGTAGTTCTTGGTTGTCATATATTACTTATACTACACACTATTACTATTACTGCGACTACTACTTCTATCAATAATCAAAGCCTTCTATGTGCTCAAACTCTGTGATTTGCTTGTATGCCTTAGGACTATCTCACACCTTGCACAGTCCCGTAAGCTAAGTGGTCTGATTTTCTCATCACAGATGAAGAAACATCTCTGGGTGGTTAAATAATATGCCAAAACTCACACAGTCATTAAGAGCTTGAATGTGAATTTGAATCCAGACGTCACTCTAAATTTCAATTTAGATCCTCTATATCCTGGTTTCCTCTAATACACAAACATACATAATGTAAATAATACATAGTACATAGAGATATGTTACTCATTTGATGCACACATACATACATACATGTTTTAAATTCTAAAATTCTATACTAATTTTTTTAAATGTTAAGGCTTAATATGTGAAACTGAGTAGGTACTTAGTTAATATTTAGGGGAAAGGAATTAATATATGGTAAATAACTAAAATCATTTTGAGTAAACTGTTAGTTAACACATGTCAGCAATAACAGTCGCTATTTAAATCCTCATCTTCTTCAAGATTATGTTATTAAAAATTATTCTAGAGAAAAAATGTAAGTGGACTAGCCATAGGTTCAAATCTAAATACAGAACTGAAAGAGACAGAAAAAGAGCTGTTTTCAGTAAGCAAGGGCTGAAATCTAACCCTATGGACTGAACAAAAGAAAAAAGAAAAGATCATTTTAAAAATTACATGTGGTTCTGATTTTTCATAATACTTTCCAAATTTGGTAACATACTTTCCAAATTTGAAATTTCAAAAAAGCTATTCCATACTTTCCTATCAAAACAAAATAACAATACTTGCTATTTTTATTTCTCTTGACTATTGTATATGAGTAATAATAATGATGATGATAATTGGATAATGACATTCAGAATGAACAACTTTTTCAGAATTAAGGAGAAGGGGCAGGTGGTATCCGAAAAGATTCACAGATGTCTATTTCTAATCAAAACATGTTTTTTTCCAACTATGTAATCTCCTTCCAAAGAACATCAGGCTGAATGGAAAGATGTCGACACGTGTGCCAGGTCAGGGCTAGAATGACATGTCTGGGGAACAGGAGATGCCGCTATTTCCATTATCCATTGAACACCTTGGCAATTCTTATTTCATCCTGAGAATGTGATACTTACTCTTGAACTGCTCTGGCTATGGAAAGGGCCGTAGATCCAGTTTCATTAACGCTATCTAAGGTCACATTTGGCAGGTCATCATCATCACTGTCACTTTTACTTTGTCTGGGAGATAGGCCTCGGGGGTCCATTTGTGCTGGGGAAAAAAGGCATATATATGAATTAAAATCAGCATGCAGAAAGTTAACCTTGTCCTGGACCAACACCAAGCATGGAAAGTCTCTTCTGTGTATATCACGCACACGGAATTCTCTAGAAATCCCAGGAATTAGTGAAAGCGACGTATTTTATGTACTGAGCGCTCACTGACTCTTTTTCCCTGGTTCATCTGATTTACGAAACCTTCATCAGCTCTCAATAGTTTCAGGATATGACTATGGAATATAAACTATAAAACCCATGATATTATCTACTCCTGAGTGGTCAGAAGCTAATTAGGTAGCTCACAAGTTAGTGCTGGACCCTCTGGCTTCTCCTTGCTTCTGCTGCCAGAATCCTGGCCACCTTACTGCTCTTGCTCACAGCTCTCATAATCAACTGACAGAAGAACAAGGTTTGCAAGACTCAAAGTTTTAGGTACTTTTCATACTTCAGTGAATGACTGTCTTCAGTTTTTTACTACAATTTGAATAGAAAAATGACAGAAGCAGTAGTAGTGTTTTTAATTATGTGTTTATATGTGCTAAAAAGTACTCTTTGTCTCCATCCTGATTTCATTCTTCGAAAGGGCATTTCCAGATACAATTCTCCCCGCCCCGCAATGTGAACTTGCCAAAGCAAGAAACGCCCCATGACTGGAGCCCTGATGACAAGGACTTTCAGATCCTTTCAAATGAGAGGATTATAGTCAACATTTCAAACCTTAACTCATCTTTAAAAAAATTAGATTGCATTTCCACCTTCCTCTCTCTATGAACAGCTTTAATAACCATAGTGTAGGATTTCCATCAGCCCTCACCTCAAGCACAAAATACACACATCTTCTAAATTAAAAATACTGCACTAGCTGCCAATGGCATTGTTAGAACTAGTGGCTTCAAAGCCAGCCAGTTCCAAGCAGATTGCCACTCCTCAAAATGCCCAACAACATTTCTAAAACCACTGCTGCTTACAAAAAGCAAATCCACTTAAAGTCATGGTTACAATGACATCTGGGTATATTTACAATTTCATTTTTTTCCTCAAAACATTTTTTCTTACTGTGTATCATGCATTAGGTAGATCATCAGGAAAATGCTAGTATTTCATAATATTTTACACACAAACAATTTTTTATGATTCTACCTAACATTTAAGATATGAATAGAAAAACTATACCTAGAAAGTTTCAACATGCTTGTAACTAAACATGCTTAGGAAGGAATGTATATCTGTAGAACCTACTGTCACACATTATTGAATACACATATTCAAATGTAGTATGAACAATGAAAGTTCTTGGTAATTGTTGGTTAAATTAAAGAGACAATAACTCAAATAACCTAAACTAGTGGTCCTCAAACAAAGGCAAATTTCTCCCCAAGAGACATTTGGCAATGTCTAGAGACATTCTAATTTGACACAACTTGGGGAGAGGGAGATGTTACTGGCATCTTCAATGATACTCCTGGACATCGTACAATGCACATGACAGTCCGTCCCCCATGACAAAGAATTAACTAGTCTAAAATGTCAAGAGTGCCAGGTTAAGAAACTATGAGTTAGAGATTTAAGGGTTTGGATATAGAAACTAGAAAAGATATTAAGTCATAAATTGGACTATCCATATTTTCTGCCCCTCAAATAAAACAATACACTGTCATGTGACTTAGCCCTCACCAATTCCCCATATACTAGTACATACAGCATTCGCTTCTGCAAATGCCAGGAATTATGCAGTAACACTCTAAGAGTTTTTGAATGTTTTCTTTGTCTCACACATGGTGGGACAAAAAGACTTTGTGTCTGATCTCTAGAGAAGATTTCCTAGAAGAGGGATGTTGGATAAACTTTTTCTAGAAAGGACCAGTTCTGCAACCATCTGATAACTACTTAAGCATCAGCCACTCCAAAGGCACTGAGGCACTGTATCATTTAAGATTTATCTTGGCAACAGGCAAGAGAAACGGGCTCAGAATAACTTATAGTAAACAGAATGTACTGGAAAGATACTGAGTAGCTCAAAGTAAGTAAGGTCAAGATGAACAACCAGCATTCATGTAGTACAAGTCACAGGGATCATACAAGCATTACAACCAGGAATTCACAGATAGTTTCTTTTGGGCAATCTGTTATAGAATGATTCTGTTACCAATCATTCATAACTACACAAATGCAGCCAAAAAGGAGTAACAGATCTATGTAGGCTTCTGAATCACATATTGTGTGGTGTTATGTATGCCTGTAAATGTCAACAATTTAACATTTAAAGTTGTTGAAACATGATGCACTAAGATTCCTTTGCCAAGATACCAACTTAACAGCTAGCTAAAGATAAGGGAATATTCTGGTGGTCCTATTTTGTCCAAGAAAACTAGAGTTATCATAGGTAAGTAATACAACTCAAGGGAGATATGGGCAATTAACCAATAAGCAGCCTGACTCTGAAAGTTAAAATCTAGCCATACAAAAGACTCTAAAGAGCTGGTGTGAGAGTTGATCATCTAAATTATGTTATGTTTATATCTCAATGAAAGTTTAAAATATGTTAAATATGATGTCCTTTTTTGGATGTACTTTTCAGTAACATTATAATTGAGGATTTCTTTCCAATATTTTCAATCAATATTATGAAATACATCTGCTACCATCATGCTGAGAAGCTCTTTTTACCCATACCTTCAGCCAAGATGAGGAAGCAATTAGAAAGGCTTTTTGAAATCTGCATTGCTGATTAGGTCAGATGATTAGCTTATCTGCATACTTGCATAATTCCATTCTCCTTTGATGAAATGTGGGATAGGGACATCTACCTTCCTTAACCTCCATTAGTCTCTGAGTTTCTCAGTTCATTTAGGAAGCACCCATTCACTGGGTGCCCATTCAGAGAAAATGCAAAAGTAACCTGAGCACCAGAACCAAAGACATATCCACCTCCCTAAGTAAGAGAGCAATAGAGGACCTGCAGGCATCTGAAAGGAATTTACATTTGAGATTCCGTTCCTTTTAAAGGAAAAGGGACCAGGCAGCTGGGAGAATGCCAGGCCATGGCTGGTGCAGGTGTCCGTTCTCTGAGTTGGAGGAGTTGTGAAATACTGTGTGAGCTTCACTCGCCGTGATCAAATCCCTGGAAGGGTAACGGCAGAACTCCAACACCTCAAGTTGAACCCATTTACTCTGACTTTCAAAAACACACTTAATGGTAAATTGTTCCTGTAAAGATCACCCCAATAAATCATGATAAATGACTTATGCTGAACCTGCTGGCTTGGAACCTGGTCGCCATCTGAAGAAGCCCAGGAAAACCTAAGAGACAAGCTGCTCAGCTGGCAGCCAACCCCAACTGATGTGAGCCATGCTGGATGGACCGACCGCATTGCAGCCACCCATATGCATGACCAGCATAAGCGTTTTCTGGCTAAATCCATTCCAAATATTTGACTTACAAAACTGTGAGTGAATAAAATAGTTGCTATTTTAATCTATGAAAGTTTGGGGTGCTTTGTTACACAGCAGTATAGCAATACAAAAATCAATGTACCATGCTACTCTCCCGGCTCCTTCAGAGATTTCCTGGCAATGACGTGGACAAGGGGCTACTACAGTTAGAGTCAGCCTATCACACTCCTCTCTGTCCTCCTCCTAAGAGGAAGCCTGGCCTTAAGTGGCATACATTTAAGTGAGCGGTTAATATGAAAAAGAAAAGCCACATATTATCTCTGTACCATTTCCTTCTCAAGTCAAAATATGCAAAATGTACTTATAGGCACTTTGGTTTTGAAGCGTCTTCTTTGATCCTTGGCTGTGCCTCAGGTGGGCTTCTCCCAGAGGGGCCATCGGCTGGCATTACTGCTCAGGAGAAGGACTCATAGCGGACAGGAGGCTCAGCTGGGTGGATCCTCCCAGGTGTGTGGTTACCCAAAGTCCGGTACATTTGCCTCTCTTCAGTGCACCTGAGACATGTTCCTTTTCCTTTCCCCCAGGCCACAGTGGACTGGCACTGACACAGGGACCTCAGTGCGTTCTCGCTTCCCCTACCTCATCCTAGGCACTGCCAAAAGGTTCAACACTCTTCCAACTTCCTTAGACTTCAACAGGCCTATTCAGCTATTCTTAATGGAAAGGAAGTTTTTCCTTCAGTCACCATATTAAATATGGACAAAAACAATCTATGAACATACATTGAAATTTACAAAGTAACCTTTTCTAACCAGAATGAATCACAGAAGGAATTATTCAAGCCCATTTACCTCCACCATCAGGGCTGGAGGGGAGAGGGCGGGGGGGACACAGATGGACAGAAGGGGTGTGAGGCAGCCGGCGGCTGGAGTGCTGTCAGCCTTTCTCCCCCCTTCAGTCACTGACAGGCTGCCTGCCACCCACAGATGCCCTCATTGTTCGCCCTGCCAAGGCTGAAGCATGCCCCAGTTAAAGAAGCCTTGGCTTCCAGGAGGGCTGCTGCTGCCATGAGAAAGAAGGGCAGTGGGAGAAGGAGGGAAGGGAAGGGAAAGGACTGTATGGGGGAAGAAGGTGCAGGGAAGAAGTCACAGCATCATGGCGTCAGAGAGTAGAAGACTATCCTTTTAGGAGCGATTCCTGCACTCATCTGGTGCAGAAATCGTTCCTAAAAGGATAGTCACAGTGTTTCTTTAGGATGAAAACAGAGCTCTGGCTTCAGAGAACCTGGGTGTGACTTCTGGGCCTGTCACTTGTCTGACTGGGGCAACTGATTTCCCACAGCTCATCCAGCAGGTTCCCTTGCCATTGCTGCTGTGGTGAATAAGTGAGATAATATATGCAAAGCCTTTAGTACCCTGCCTGGCACCTAGCAGTCAACCATCATTCCATTTTACTCTGACAGTAAATTTAGTGCTTCTTCAACCATCTCTTCCATCACAATATTTCCAAGTCCCTCACCTTTTCCTGGACTAATTCAAATTAGGCAGTTTTGTGTTTTGGTTGGTTTTTTTTAATGCACTTAAACTGAAAATACCACTA